TCACGAATCTAACGTCATCGGCACTGTCACTCATCGGAGGGTTAATCAAAAGCCTTCGTACACACACATACTTGTTGTCTCCTTCTCACACTTCCAGCACATGCACGTGTTTGCAAAATGATGACGAAGTGATTTGTTTGTCATTTATGTCCATATATTTGAATAAAATAAACAATATTTAGAAGATATCCACCAATACTTCTCATATACCAAACGAAAGGAAAAACATTGAGTTTTTGATTAAAGGAAACAGAAAAAATCATTCGAACGGTTTTCGAGCATTTTGGTAATAAACAAATTTGCAAATTTTTTCAACAAATTTTTGCCTTAGAATGCTCAATATTAATTAAATTTATATAAAATTTGTACACTGTATTATTGATATTGCTCTAAAGAACCTATATACCGAAAATGAAAGTTATATCTGCAAATGATAAGTTACTAGATCACTTTAAAGCCTCAAAATTTACTCCAAAATAAGCCAATATTTATCGTTGTTTCTCCGACAGAAACCGAATTGGTCACTTACAAAAATGAATCTGTCGAAAGGCTTGGAATTTTATCTTTGAAACGCCATACTTTTCTTTGAAATCTCTCCATTAGTTTCGTGCAATTAGAGTTTTCGTGAAGCTCTAAAAATTACAACTAAGTACATACAACATTTGAGCATAGCCTCCATATCGAAACGTAAGACGTATTCTACGTCAAAAACGAAGTAATTCATACATGCACAGTTTCGGTTGAAAACCGAAATAATGTCTAAGTGCACAGTTTCCATATGCACAATTTCGGTGCCCCTATTACTTATTGCCCGCCAAGGGCGACAGTTATTATAGCTTTCATACATATGAATGCTTCTTTTAATGCATATGCGCCTACGGATTTACAAAAAGCATACATTTATCTAATTTTTAGATGGGTCCCCTTTGTGATTATTAATCTGCAGACAGCTTCCGCACTCTTTTTCTCATGACAGGTGACTAAAGGAAAGGTGAAGATTTATCATCACCGAGTTAACTAAGCGCGTGATAGCACCTTCATATTTGTGTACACATGTTTGCGATAAGTTTAGATGTATAAGCTTAATCTATCTTTCGATGAACAACCATTTGTTATTGTCGGTTTTAGAAAGCTAACGGAATAGTAATTTGTTGTATTAAATAACATTTTCATGTCTACTAAGGTTATTATTAAGGGCCGTTTTCTCAAGTAATCTTAACGTTTAAGCTAACTTTATATATAAAGGCTGCATTAGAATTTATGATTGTGCCTAAAGTAAAGCATTTTATTCTCGTTTTTAAATTGGTTTACAACCAATAAACATACATACCTCAAAACCCGATAATAGAAATGCTTAACATTAGACATAGCTTTATTTTAAATCCAACCTTTAATTATAATGTGACCTTTAAAGTTAAAGGTTACTTAAGAAAAGGGCTCTAAGCCCATTAGGGTTTTTACGTCAGAGTACAATTGCGAATGGTAAGAGAAATGTAATAAACTTCTGCTGAAAGCGCGCGGACAAATCAAATGATTTGCAAATAACTCAATTTTAAATTTCCGCAGTATTTGAGCATGCAATGTTGCAATTTGCTGAATGCCTTTCCTGCCCTTAATAACTAACTAAACAGTGAGCTCAACAGAGTGACTTAGCAGAAAATAAACTGAAACATCCATTAATATGATTTGTTGTATAAGCAAACAAAAACATTGTTGTACCTCACGAAAGACACAAAAATTTGATTTTGCGTGGAGAAAAATGTCTTCCATCGATTTGCTGTTCGCATCAGCAGTGGCGGACCCAGGTAGGTGAAATTGGGGAAATTTTAATTGGCTATAAAATTGCATATTCAAAAAAATTATAAAAAAGTTTAAAAAATTTGTAAATTGGTAATGTACTCATTCTACTCAACTTCGGTGTAAAAAACAATCATAACTCAAATTATTGTAGAGTGCACCCCATAACATTATACTTAAATATTGCGCAATACTTAGAGCTACCATTGTGATTTTTTCCAATTTTTTTTGAGATGGCATATTTTCAAAACTAATTTTTGTTTATCAAAAAATTTGTATGTGGAAAATTTTTCAAGAAAAAACTCAAAAATATTTTTTTTCGTAGGGAATTTTGATGTGTATATGTGATTTTATCGATAAAAACGTTTTAATTGCGTATGCATGTTCACTTTGAGCAAATTGTGAGCACTGGTTGGGGAAATCTTTGGCAGATAGGGCAAATCGCTAATTGGGCCCCAATTTGGCCAAAATTAGAGCCCAATTGGGAAAAAACTTTTGGCTCTGATCGGGCAACCTCAACAAATTTCCAGCAAGGAAATTTTGTCATAATGGGCAACAATTTTTGTGCCCTCAACTGGCACGAAAATCTGCTAGCATCATATAAGTGCATTTTCAGAAAAAAAATCATAACTCGAAAATTACGAATTTTAACACATTGCTACTCGTACTGAAAATAGTTTATACTATTCCCTAATAGACAAAAAAGTTCGAGAGAAAAAAAAGATGTGGCAATTTGAAAAAAATCAATTTGAAAAAAAAATTGTTTGTTTATAAACAATAATTAATTATTAATAAACAATTACTGATGTTTAGTTCACTAAATCGATTCAGTAGATCAATATCTGCAATTTAAAAAAAAAATCGTTAAATCGTTATTAAGAGAGGAAAAAAGAAGCGTTCGTACTCAAAAAGAAAAAAATTCATTATTCGAAAAATTCGCATTCCTGAGCAAAAAGCAAAAATACGTGTCTCCTCAAATTGTTCAAGAAACAATTCCTGTGAGTTTTATCGCAAACTTAAATTCACTTTCCCCCGGCCTGGGTGATTTGAGATGGAATGAGCCTTTGTTATATTTTCGAAGTTGTATTATCTTACACAGTTGAAAGTCACAGCAAGTTTTAATTTTTTCACAGGTTCAGAAAACAACGAAAATTCCAAAATTTTTAATTTTATATTAATAAATTTCTTGAGATTTCTTATTTTTAGGAAATCCGGGAGATTCTAGGAATTTTGGTAAAATGAGAATATTTTGAAATGTACAAAACTATTGAGATTTTAGAAATTTTTATGTTTTCCAAAATTTTGAGATCTTTTCCCTTCCTAAAATCCCTCATAAATGTAAAAATGTGAAACATCACAAATTGTCGAAAAATTCTTATGTTCATGGTACTTGTAGAGTACCATACCACAAATGATATGATGATCGATGAACAAATGGGAATTGTTTTGTACAGTTTATTTTCGTACTCTGCTTTATTTTGAAAAAAATTATAAAGGACAGGGGATTAAAATAAAGGATTGTCCTTTAAAATAAAGGACGGATGGTCACCGTACACATAGTGATAGGTATATTTAGCATTTAGATATGCATCTTCATCCGTATAAGGCTCATGCCACAAAACACCTGAAGGCATTTAACATTAACATGACAATATTTTTAGGTACCAAATCGACTACCAAATCAGTTTCCAAACTACCAAAATTTCTTAAATTTTCGAGGTTTTTACTACACGACTTAGCAGTAAAAATTAAAACTACACACAATATTGTTTACCGTATTGGTTAACTTGTAAAAAATTTAAATACCTCTGAGATTAATTCAATTCATATCGAATGATGTTTTTTTGAAACATAGTCAGACATTTTATGCATTTCAAAAAAAAATTTTCGAATTTGTTTCAATTTGCACACACTCACACTTTGCAGATTGCCTATTGGTTATTTCTCGTTCTATTTCATTCTATTGTCTGCTTATAGTCCGGTCAATTTAGACATTCGAGGTTACAAAAATTCCCACCGAGCTGAAAATTGGTAGGATTGTTCAAAACACCATCATAAGTGAAATCTAAAAAGTCCTCATCGATCCGGTACCTGGAAGAAAAGTTACTCGGGGTCAAAGGTCACAAAAACGGGGGTTTCGCGATTTTCAGCACAACGGAAATTTATCATAAAATTAATTTGACAATTGTATATAGATAATTATCTATATAAAATGTCTAAATACTTTTTGTCCTAAGAGCCACCATTTCCGAGATATAACGATTCAAAAAGTTGGAAGAGTTGTGATCGGCATAATATGTATAAGTACAACAAAGGTGGCGTGGAAACGTGCGCATATTATGACGATTACAACTCTTCCAACTTTTTGAATCGTTATATCTCGGAAATGGTGGCTCTTAGGACAAAAAGTATTTAGACATTTTATATAGATAATTATCTGATATACAATTTTTGTCTAAATTAATTTTATGATAAACTTTCCGTTGTGCTGAAAATCGCGAAAAACCCCGTTTTTGTGATCTTTGACCCCGAGTAACTTTTCTTCCAGGTACCGGATCGATGAGGACTTTTTAGATTTCACTTATGATGGTGTTTTGAACAATCATACCAATTTTCAGCTCGGTGGGAATTTTTGTAACTTCACTCCTATTTTACAACGCTTTTATCAACTTGCAATGTTGTATGTCCAGACCACCATACTATAAATATAGCAAAGGTATTTATGACAAACCTAGTCTAGATATCAACCTCGTCGTAGCTATCATATCAAAGACATACAATTTTTCACTGCAAGTTGAACTACGAGGGTCGTATGAAAACTACCCGGCCTTGAATAGAATAAAACGATTTTTTTAACGAAATTCAATTTATTTTTCAACATAATCTCCTTTTAGCTCGATACACTTAAGCAAACGTTTTTCCCATGTTTTGATCCCTTCCGAATAATAGGTTTTCTCCAACCCTTCAAAATAAGCATTTGTTGCTGCAATTTCTTCATCATTTGAGCTAAATTTTTTCCCGCCGACCCATTTTTTAAGATTAGGAAAGAGGAAAAAGTCACAGGGGGCCAAATCTGGAGAATACGGTGGATGAGGAAGCATTTGGTAGCCTAATTCATTGAATTTAGACATGGCTACGACACATGTGTGTACACGAGCATTGTCTTGATGAAAAAGAACTTTTTTTTCAACAAATGTGGACGTTTTTCCTTCAAAGCCTTGTCAAAATCACCCAATATTTTGCAGTAGTATTCGCCATTAATTGCTTTTCCTTTTTGTAGGTAATCAATATGTATAACCCCACGCGCATCCCAAAATACTGTGGCCATAACCTTGTTTGCTGATAATATCGCCTTTGCCTTCTTTGGAGCTGGTTCACCACGACGAGTCCACTGTTTTGACTGTTCTTTGGTCTCTGGTGTGGAGTGATGAATCCACGTTTCATCGACAGTTACAAATCGACGCCAAAACTCCTGGGGATTTGCGTTTAACATTGATAAACAATCATTTGAAATGGAAACACGTGTTTGTTTATGGTGTGTTGTGAGTAATCGCGGCACCCATCTTGCGGAAAGCTTTCTCATATCCAAATGATTTTGCAAAATGTTATTAACCCGTTCAATTGAAATGCCCACACTCTCACCAATCTCACGCACTTTCAATCTTCGATCACTCATTACCATATCACGGATTTTTTCTATCATTTCTGGTGTAGTGACCTCATTTGGACGACCTGAACGTTCCTCATCAAAAATGCTCGTACGGCCGCGTTTAAATTCAGCTACCCAATATTTTATAGTTGTTAATGACGGTCCAGAGTCTCCATAAACTTCGTTAAATTCCGATTTAATTTCGTCGTTTGTTTTCTTTTTCAAAAACAAATATTTTATCACTGCTCGATATTCAATTCTTTCCATGTTGACAAAAAGCACAAAAGTAACTCAATTCTAACACGTATAAAATTTGTTGTAAATGTCATATCGCTGAGAAATTTTGACACGTGTTATTTGAAGAGTTGTATTTTTTAGCAAAATATTTTTTTTAGTTCTAGCAGCGCCATCTCTATTCAAAATCGGGTAGTTTTCATACGACCCTCGTATTTTAGTATCTATTGCAAAATTTTATACAGACAAGACTAAAAACTATAAAATAAATTAAAAAAATAACTTTTTGATGTACCACGCTTTTATAAATGGACTAAAATTAGAAAATAATATTTCTCAGTCTCATAGAACTTGTCTTGATAACTTTTGATTTTGAAATTTTAGCAAAAGTCATTATAAACAA